CTTAATATGATATAATATAATACAATACATAATTTTATTTAATAAAATATTAATTTTATATAACTTAATGTAATATAATAAATATAATTTGTAACACTAATTAAAAATATTAAATAATGGTTAAATAACAGAAATTGAATTACTGATATTATTATAATAATAATTTAATTAGGCTGATAAAAATCTAATTACCGGAATTATTATTTAATAATAAACCGATAAGAATCTAATTACCGGAATTATTATTTTATATTAAACCGATAAGAATCTAATTACCGGAACTATAAAGTTTATATCAAAGGGGCGGGGCTTAGACCGGAAGTCCCGCCTTAGGGGGCGGGGCTACAATCCATCAAACTTTTTGACAGGTGCCGCATCATAATAACTACTCTCTTCTGGTATGAGTCTGAACTGATAGATTATTTTTGGATGTTCTCTACATATCATGGGTTTTCTCAAAAACCTTTCCTCATAAACAGGTGAATTTGAGTTTGGACTCGTTTTTTCACATTTTAATTGTGAAAGACAATTCTCACAGATATTTAAAGAATTTTGAAATTATTGTGATTGTGATGAAGTTTTCATGGTGCAAATTCTTCAATAAAAATATTCATCAGAATAGAAAATCAGAATTCATTGAATATGTTTTGCATAATTATGTTCAATATTTCACAAGATTAAAACATCAACACTAAGATACAATTCAGTCAGTAATTACATTTATTTGTAAAAAATAATTTAAATGATGCATTGTATTATTCAGACAAGACAGTAAAGGCATTTATAATGTAACAAAGGTTTTGCTCAGACTTTCGGGACGTTTGGAATTACTCCGTCTCGTCACCATATAACACATGTGAGTAAATCGTTGTTAGTAAATAAGGCTATTGTTACGATTAGAAATTGTGCATTAACCAGATTATATTTATTTTGTTTAATTTGTTTTAGCGTAAAATTAACGCTAGTTCATGCCCGAATCTAATCGGCCAGCAGCGAATATTTACCAATGTTACTTTGCACTTCTTAGAGATGTTGCCAAAGTTCCTCTGGATTTAGTTTCTTCATGTCATTCAGACTGGATGATAATCAGGTCAGATCTCTGTGGCTGTTGTCACACTCACTGTGCAGACTAATTTATCCCTGTATACAGCTAAATTAATGACAAAAAATAATTTTTGGAAATGTAAATTGATATTTCAAACTGGCATGCTACAGAAAATATCAATACCCCCCCCCCCCCCCCCAACCCCATTAATAGTAACGTTAGCATAGGACTTTAGGACAGTAGCCTATACTATTTAAGCCTTTTCCCCTCTGCGCTTTAATTAATATCACTATAAATGATCACAATCTCCCACAATGATAGTACTTTTGTTCGATAGTAATGTATAGAGTCTATATGGTATCTGTAAATGTTTAGTGTGTGAAATTGTTGGACAACCACCACACACACATTAAACAGCAAAATAAACATGTCTATAGCTTACTAAAAGCCTTTCTGTCTGTTCATATATTTTATATAAATGCAGAGCAGCAAGACCCATGGGATTTCATCAGCCACTCACCATCAGAGTCCTCAGTGGAAGCTGAGAGGAGCAGAAGAGGAAGCCAAGCAAGAGATGCCAGAAAAAAGGGGGAAGGAAATAATGTGTTATTTTGTTTGAGTATAGGCAGGTGCATTGGGTAGCACAATCGCCTCACAGCAAGAAGGTCACTAGTTCGAGCCTCGGCTGGGTCAGTTGACATTTCTGTGTGGAGTTTGCATGTTCTCCCCATGTTAGCGTGGGTTTCCTCCGGGTGCTCCCACAAGTCCAAAAATACTGTATGTGGTGACATTGGGTAAGCTAAAATTGTTCGTATTGTATGTGTGTGAATGAGTGTGTATGGATGTTTCCCAGTGATGGGTTGCAGCTGGGTGGCAACACAGTGGCACAGTAGGTAGTGCTGTTTCCTCACAGCAAGAAGGTTGCTGGTTCGAGCCTCGGCTGGGTCAGTTGGAGTTTCTGCGTGGAGTTCTCCCTGCGTTCACGTGGGTTTCCTCCAGGTGCTCCGGTTTCCCTCACAGTCCAAAGACATGCGGTACAGGTGAATTGGGAAGACTAAATTGTCCGTAGTGTATGAGTGTGAATGGGTGTGTATGGATGTTTCCCAGAGATGGGTTGCAGCTGGAAGGGCATCCACTGCGTAAAACATATGCTGGATAAGTTGGTGGTTCATTCCACTGTGGCGACCCCAGATTAATAAAAGGACAAAGCCGAAGAGAAAATGAACAAGTATAGGCAATGATAGACAAGACAATGTTTGATTAAGATGAAGTGTTTGTTTTAAAATGCTTATTTATTAAAATAAAGGTTACAAAGTAAAGAAGAAATATATTGTGTGTTTGTATATTTATTTTACTGCCTTCAAGATTTTACATTGAAAACTAAAGGGAACAAGGAGGAAACAAATGTTGTATTTACCCTTTAACTACAGGTAACAAGGGAGGAACAATGACTTACTTTAATTTACAACCCTCAAATGTGGTATTTACCCTGTAAGTACAGGGAAGAAGGGAGGAACAATGCTTCACTTTATTTTACAACCCTCAAATGTGGTATTTACCCTTTAAGTACAGGGAACAAGGAGGGAACAAATACTATATTCACCCTTTAACTACAGGGAACAAAGGGACGAAGCTGAACTTTAACACACTAGTGTATATTTGAACAGAGTAAACTACAGCAGCAGTTTTTATTGATTGAAGACCAAATTACTACATTTTTCTTTAAAGCATCAGCTTTACATTTACTGAAATGTAACAGTTATCCCCCTGTGCAAACAGCAGTAAAGATGCGAGCCTGTTTTAATCTGCATTGAACCCTGCATTCATGCTCAATATCTGGTTGTTACCCCCTTATTACCCAAGCATTACAGTTTGTTCTCTTATACCTATGTAAACGTTATTTGTACTTACACTATACGTACAGAAAAGTACACCGTTATTTCACTGTACTTACGCGGTAATTTTCGTGATGAACATCTGGTTGTTACCCCCTTTTTACCCAAGCATTACGGTTTGTTCCCTTATACCTACACATACGTTCATGATACTTACACAGTACGTACAGAAAAGTACACTGTAATTTCACTGTACTTACGCGGTACTTTGCGGGTTGTAAAAGAGCGTTACCGAATACTTTTGAAATTTGACAGATGTTTTGTTGTATGGAAAATAAAGATACACCTGAAACCCTTTGTATTGTGATCACTTATTCATTGGGTACTTCTCCTTTAGCACATCTAATTAACATCACATGTGAGGGGACTTGAATGAGTGTTACTGCATAATTTAATGCGCCACCCAATAGCTACCTCTCATCAGCATGTGTGAACTTCCTGTGTTTTTTGGTGGTACTTTCCTTTAATTCAATGTAAACCTACTGTGTTTTGTTCATTGCTTATAGGCTACTTTGCTTTATGTCACTGAAGCATGGGCTACCAATCTTTTAAATGAATTTATTCCCTGTTTATTCCCATTATATATGGAGATTTATGTTTTTGCTAAATTATAAAACATATACTGTCATTTTTTTTCTATAGTTAACAGAACAATTAAATAAAAAAACATTTAAATCTAAACAGATATTTACAGGAAAACCTGTAAAAAGCATTGAATACTTGCCATACAGTTGAAGTCAGAATTATTAGCCCCTCTTTGAATTTTCTTTTCTTTTTAAAATATTTCCCAAATTATGTTTAACAGAGCAAGAACATTATCACAGTATCTGATCATATTTTTTCCTCATGGAGAAAGTCTTATTTAATTTATTTAATCTAGATTAAAAGCAGTTTTTAATTTTTAACACCATGTTAAGGTCAAAATTAGTAGCCCCTTTAGGCTATATATTTTTTGATAGTCTACAGAACAAACCATCAATATACAATAACTTGCCTAATTTCCCTAACCTGCCTAGTTAACCTAATTAACCTAGTTACGCCTTTAAATGTCACTTCACACTGTATAGAAGTGTCTTGATAAATATCTAAAATATGAATTACTGTCATCATGGCAAAGATAAAATAAATCAGTAATTAGAAATGAGTTATTAAAACTGTTATGTTTAAAAATGTCTTGAAAGATTCCAGAAAAAAAGTGTCTGAGGAAAAACTGCTTCAGTGGGTTTATGAACACTGAACTGAATTTTCAAACTGGTGCATGTCTTAATAATTGACAAATTTGAAGCCAACTGCAACTATTTGTGATGGTCACGGAAATCACAGTCTTTGATGTATTTGTTGTGGAGTAAATTCAAGCCTTTAAGCAACGATGAGTCACACATAATGTCATTACTAAGTTTATACACACAGCTCGCGCATTTAACTTTGCACTGCAAATGTGACAGGATGCATATTAATATCCACTGCTGTATGGATATCTGCTATGTTCATGTACAAAATAAACCTGATTTAATGTCCACAAACTGGGATTGAAGCATGTTTTATAATTGTACTGACAAGCAGCTGTGGTGATAAAAACGATAAAATCACTGTAATTTATTATGAACATGCACTGTTTTCAAAATGTTTTATACTTGTAAAACTCACTCTTGATCACATGTGATGATGACTGATGATCACAGAGCGCTGAACAGATCTTTTAATCCCAGTAGCTTTGCACACGTCCTGTCTTGTTGATTATATACGTTATTACGGAGACATGTTAATACATGACTGTCAATCAATTCGGTGAGCGGGGAAACCACACTTCTACGTCACATTGAGGTAGGCCTCAAAATCAGAGAGATTTGGATCCTATTTTAATGTCAAGAAATGTAAAAAAAAAGAGACTCGTTGTCTTTATATCACCCCAATATGACTGTAGACACACTATACCCACACAAAGTTCTGTCCAAACAGCTTACAAAAGATGATTTTCATCATAGGTGCCCTTTAATGTGCTCCTGAAAAAAGAAGTCACCTATCTTGGATGACCCGAAGGTAACTAAATAAAAAGCAAATTAAGATTTTCGGGTGAACGGTCCCTTTAATGCAAGTTTAAAAATATACATATATAGTTTAAAAAGTAGCAGAAAATCAGTATATCCAACAGGTCACTTTTAAATCAGTGCAAAACAACCAGTTCCATAAATAGTTACAGATGTGTTACATTTGTTAGTTACATTTGTCAAAAATGCAAACATTAATGTTTATTTTGTAACAAATAACTTATCCTAGACAAACATGTAGCAATCTTTCTGTAAAAAACAAATAAAGTGCAAATACAACAGCACTAATCTTTACAAGCAGCCTTTAAAGTGCATTGCAGTAAACAAAAAAACTTTTCAGTTAGTTTCCAACAGTACAGCAACATTTTCACATTTCAGCTTCTCTGTTTAAATTAGTAAACAATGTTTTTTTTCTTCTTCCTCAAATGACTCATTTTTTAAAGCAATACTGAGGAATGACATCACGAGAAAACATTAAAGGAAGAACAATACAGAATTGCATTTATAAATTACTATCTCAACTTTAGAGGAAGTAATAAAATAGTGTATTCCATTACATTCAACCAGCCTCTATCAAAATGTACCAAATGTATATACTGTAGCATTACATAGTAATGTAAAAATAAATTCAATACATTTAATAAATAAGTAAACATTGGAAATAAAGGAATTCTTTGAGAAACACACACAAAAAAATCACAGTGACAAAACAAACGATAAGCTTTTGAAGTAGCTCTCCTCCTTTAACATTCCTCATTTGAGTCATGAAGCTTTTCAGCAGAAGATTTTAGCCCAAACCGGTCTCCTTTAAAGAAAAATGAAACACTCTTTTTAATTTAAAATACAATAGTTTATAATTGACATGCTACTCTTGAGAGATGATAGCATGCTATGTTTCAATATCCTTTAATGCAAGAGAGATAAAATATTGCTGCTCACTTTTTCGTTTGCAGTAAATAAAGATGACAGTAATGAGAATAACCACAACAGCAATGACAGCGAGGACCGAAAATGTGATGATGAAATTTCTTGATGCATCTGAAAGACAAAAAAAAAGCAATATTTTTCATTAAACACTGATGAATACTGCTGTTAAAAACATTCAAATGGCAACTTAATGAATCTGAGTGCTTAAAATTGTAACATCCTAATACTAGGAATAGAGTATAACTAAACAAACTGTGTGGGTTTTATTCTAGCAGAAGTCCATGTTGAATTTGTTACCTTCATCAGGATGTTGTTGTCGAGGTATGTAGATTGTTTCACTCCTCTCATAGTCGTCACTCTGAGCCAAACACTCCACGTACTTGCCATGAAACTGGGATAGCGGAAGTGTGATGTTGCTTGTAACAGTGGTTGAGCTGTCTTTGTTGTGGGTTGTGAAATCATCTGACCTGAAGTGCTTCAGCTCTTGTTCTCTGGATTTCCACTGGATTGTTGGAGCTGGTTTACCAGTGGCTGAACATGAAACCACAACTTCTGTGTCAGAAGTGTCTGCAGGATTCACTGCTGCTGTTATTTCTGAGATACCTGGAAATTACCAGCAAAAAAACATGTTATGCCATTGGAAAAACATCTAAACACAAGTTTTGCTCAACACTTTCAGTTTTTATGAATGGTAAAAAAGCTCAAATCTATATTATTTGACTGTCTGTATTCTGTTAGCCCTTAAATGATTTAAAATGTGTAAAGTTTTGGCACTTGACATATAAACAAAAAGTCCTGAATATGATTTGATAAGGTTAAACCATCCTAAAAAGTACCACACATTGTGTGATGTGTCATTAAAATGACATCATGGGAAACGAAGTCGTCTGCTGGGTACTTTCAGTGGGGCACTTTTGTTTTTGTATTCATCCAAAACTTTTCCAAATGTTTGAGATATCAGCCCAATATTTCAATCAAAAAATAATTTAGATGTATGAGTTTTAACTTTTACAGTAACATGTACCACATATACGTTTAAACTTTTACATTAACATAAAATGTCATCTTTACAAAGAATCCAAACTTAAGTCCAATTTGGAAGATTTCTCTTTCAAAAAGTACCCACGGTTTAATTGAAGAATTTGTTTTTCAAGAGGTCTTCCTCTAGTGGTTTTAAATATTTATGTTTGGTTTATGTTGAACACAAAAAATGATGTTTTAAAGAAAGCTGAAAACCTGTAACCATTGACATCCATAGTGGGGAAAACAAATACTGTGTCAATGGTTACAGGTTTTCAGCTTTCTTCAAAACATCTTCTTTTGTGTTTCACAGATTAAACAATTGGGTATGGAACAAGTGAAGGGTGATTAAATGATGACAGACTTTTCATTTTTGGGTGAACTATCCCTTTAAGTAAGTAAATATGTATAAATGGAAATATAACCTCTGCATACATATAATGTAGTTCAAAAATACTAAGTATTACATGTGTACTGTACATTTTCAAGACTAATTTTTAACTCCCACAGGTACATCATCAAACAGTTAACATTTACTTTATTTAAAGCATGGGCTTTATTATTTATTATTTTTTAGTAAACAGTAATAAGCACAGTTGTGTCAAAGTGTTGTTAACCTACCTTTAACAGTGACGCACAAGGTTTCTCGTTTGGGTCCTGTTGGATACAATTTGAAGGAACAAATGTAGCAAGCCTCATCTTCAAATGTTGTGTTTTTGATCTCAATAGTTGTTGAATTAAACGATGCTTGGAAAATTATCTTTCCGACAAAGTCCTCATCCACATTATCCTTGAAGCGCTCGCTGAACGTGGCCAGAGTGTGTACATCCTGCGCACGCACCCGCTGCCATGTCACCTGTTTGACGCCGGACACGAACGGCAGAGTACAAGAGAGAGAAGCATCCTGACCAAACACAACAGCCGTGTCTCCTCGTGCCACTATTTCCGAAGAATAAACTGCGTATAAAAACAAGTAAGCTTTTAGGTTACATATTTAACATGGAAAGAAATTCAGTTAAATGTAATCAAATGTAAGATTCTCATAACCAACCTCTAGTTGTGAAGCTTAAAATTAGAAGCAGCAGCGGCAACATGTTGAAAGATGAACCTCTGGTAGAACAGAGAAGCTTATATAGCCTAACGTTACTGTAGAAAGCAAGTAAAACTGAAAGAAGTTCCTTGCATTTTGAGGAAAGTACGCCAGGAGTTTCCTATTGATATCCCTTCTGGGAATAATGCATCATGCAGGGTAAATAACTTCCCGGAAGCTGACACAAAAAGCCTTTTTTTTCTTTTTCTTTCTTTCTTTTTTTTTTGCTGTCTCGCGTAAAGCTATTAAGGTAAATAAATGGCATTCATGACGATATTAACATATTTCCCCACACAATGATTTTGAGAAGTAGACTTTTCGTAATATTGGATTAGGCTATATAGTAAATGACGGACAACGTTACTGTTGTTTATGCTACTGAATTATTAGAAGAAAAATTAGCAGAACTTCATCACTAAGAAGATAGATTGGGTGCATCAACAAATTGATCCAAACCGAGAATGATTAAATTAAAGTAATTAAATTGGCCATTTTCTTATCATTTTATTTTGTTTAGCATTTAACAAGATAAGCTTTCGAGTAACTGTTGTAAACATAAGGGATAATTTTCTTAGTAAATTCCCTCCCTGTGTATGAATATGCCATGTAATACCACCAAAGGGAGTGTTCTGCGCTTCTAGTTAACTAACTGATCTTCTCTTGAATTGTTAAAAAGTGTTAAGACTTTGTAGAATTCTTTTGACATTCATTAGGTGTTTAGTTGTATGGTAAATAACTACCAAGAGACACCTGAACCCTGTTTTTTGTCTTTGTGTCGTGATCACTGATTCATTGGGTACTTCTCTTACATTAACATTGCACGTGACTCGAATGAGTGTTACTAAATATGATTCAATGCGCTTCCCAATAGCTACCTCTCATCAGCATGTGTGAACTTCCTGTGCTTTTTGGTGGTACTTTCCTTTAATTCACTGTAGACCTACTGTGGTGTTCATTGTTTATAGGCAACTTTGCTTTATTTCACTAAAGCATGGGTTACCATTCATCTAAATTAATTTATTCCCTACTTATTCCCATTATATATGCATTTTTATTATATTATATATTTTTATAAGCATATGAAGATTTATGCTTTTGCAAAATTGTAAAACATTCATTCATTCATTTTCTTTTCGGCTTCGTCCCTTTACTAATCCGGGGTCGCCACAGCAGAATGAACCGCCAACTTATCCAGCACGATTTAACACAGCGGATGCCTTTCCAGCCGCAACCCATCTCTGGGAAAATTGAGAAAGTGACGTCACATGGATCAAGTCACATAGATTTTCTGTCAGTGCTTTATGCCGTCTTTAAAACCAATGTAACATAATTAACCAAATGTAGACACAAATGCAAAATGTATTTTTTATTACTAAAATTATAAATAATACATAAAATAAGGTTTAATTTTAAATGTTTAACTTTAATACACCAAAAACATGAAAATGAGATTTAATTGCAGGGCATCTGCAGGGTCTTAAAAAGTCTTAAATCTCAAAAGCAAAATTTTAGGCATTAAAAAGTCTAAAAGTTATTAAAATATTGTGTTGTAGGTCTTACATTTTTTTAACAAGTCTGAATTTTCCTTTGTTTATGTATAGCTGCCCAATCTGTTCATTAACACTCATGCAATCACTAACAATCTATCTCAATAAAACTTTTTATTTAAAAAAATGCATTTTAACTGTATTTACCACAATGTTTTAATTGCTTTCCTTACAGTAACAATTGTTTAAAAGTTCTCCATTTATACTACTGAGGATGCTGACCAGACCTACATTTTTTTTATATTAAATTATTATTATTGTATTATTAAATGTATTAAATTATAATATTTTTTTTTGACAGAACAAGTAAAAATCGTTGCATTTAGCCTTGTATAAGACTAAAACTCCCTTCATAACGGTCTTAAATGTAACTTTAACTTTCACTTAACTAAATAAAACCTGCAGAAACCCTGAATTATTTAATATTAATTTAAGCTGAATATGATTCAGGAAGCAGAAAGTTAAAAATACACGTTTTTTTTAAATTAATATTTCCAAACAAAATGTAAAAAAGTTAAAAGAAAAATGTGATGTGATACTACAAATAAATATTTGTCATTGAATGTCAGTTTACAGTTTAAATTATAAATTATAAGAACAAATGTAAATATTACTTGTTTTACTGCAGATATAGTGTTTTACAGTAATAAAATATAAAGTTAGATCAATAATAGCTTTTCCAGTAAATGGTAAAGATAAACCAACAAGCATTTTACAGTTTTACAACTATTATAAACCAATTATAAATTATATTATAAACCAACTACAGCGTAAGTATAACTGATGCCAGAGGAATTTGGCTCCTGCAAGCATTTTCATTGCAGAGAATTACAGACAGAAGACCTGTGATTTTGCTGAAAAGCATGTCAGTGTATTGTAGATCAGGGAATAAGCGAAACTTCAAGTTAGTATAACATTTATGAGTTTCAAATTTTAATGTTTGGCAACACAAAATTCACATCCAGTAAACTCACAAACCAAAGGTAAAAAAAATGCACACAGTAAACAAACCACTAAAGCACAAAAAAAGAAAATATACAAAGTCTTCACACTGTAAAAAATAAATAATACAAAAAGAACAAAAAGAAGTCATCCTAGATTCATAAAGTGCAGTAGACATTATTTGTGGATACACAGGGTAAATTTATACAAACATTGCCAACACGGTGGCTTCATGGTTAGCCTCACAGTGAAAAGGTTGCAGGTTCGAGTCCCGGCTGGGCCAGTTGGCATTTCTATGTGGAGTTTGCATGTTTTCCCTGTGTTGGCGTGGGTTTCCTCCGGGTCCTCCAGTTACACCCAAAGTTCAAAGACATGCGCTATATGTGAATTAAATAAACTAAATTGACCATAGTGTGAGTATGTAAATGTGAGAGTGTGTGGGTGTTTCCCAATACTGGTTTGCGGCTGTAAGGGCATCCACTGTGTAAAACATGCTGGAATAGTTGGCGGTTCATTCCACTGTGGCAACCTCTGAAATAAAGACTAAGCCAAAGAAAAATGAATGAATAAACATTAGGCCAGATCCTGGAGGACCACCAGCTCTGCACATTTCTCATGTCTCCTTAACCAAACACACCTGAAGCGATGGAACTCACGTAGGTAGGCCACGTGATAATGACAACATGGCAGATGTAGTACATCCAAATTCCATTCATACTTTATAGAACGTACTTTTCTAACAACCGAGTAGTACATTTAATTTCAAATGCAGTACCTATTGAGTAGTAGGCAATCTTGTACACAGCCATGACCTCTGTACAGTAATGTAAAATATGGACCAATCGCTTGCTTTTTTAAATCTAATCATCATGTTTAATCCCGCCCCTTTACAACAGAATTTCATATCCTCAAACTCTAGTGACCGTGGCATAAATCATGCTGTGTTGGTGTTCCTCCAAAAATGTGGTTGAGTAACACTGCACTACGCTACAATTGCTAGCTTATGCATGCATGTAAACAAAGTGACTATTATAATAGATGAGGAATGTAGCATCAGAAAAGCCTGATGGTTTGAATAAAGTGGAAGCTGAGCAGTAGTTCATGCTGTGCATTCAGATTTCACATTTTTTGAATCTGTAAAAAAAGAGAAAGAAGTTAATACCGTGTGATTTCATCTGGTAAAATTGTTTTGTTTCTCCCCATTGGTTTGTATTGTTTCCTTTTTATTGATTTGTTTATTTTGAGACAGTTTGTGTGTATGATTTATTTCATGATGTTGTTCTATATTGTTAACTTTTGATTAAGCAAAATTCTCAAGTGATATTAAACAGAGCAATGACATTTTCACAGTATTTACAAAGTGTTTTCTTCTGGAGAAAATGTATTTTATTTTGGCTGGCAGTTTAAGCATTTTAAGGTCAATATTAGAGTTGCACAATATTGAAAAAAATCTGATATTGCAATATTTTTTTTTTTCTGCGATAAATATTCCGACAAAAATACAGTTTCACAAGATGGTTTGAATAACTATTTGATGGTTTTCTGGAGAGCAATGTTGCCAGATTGGGCGGTTTTGAATTTGATTGTGTGGGTAAAATTTGGCATAGTTGACATGGCGGTTTGACTGGTTTTAAAATGTAAATTTTATATGCAACTTATAACAAAACATAACTGTGTGCTCCTACTCCATTTAGTTATAGTAGTGACCAGTGCATAGCACAAACCATATGGGCCCACCCACAAAAGGAGGTGAAAGAAAGTTGTCTGACTGCCCAGACAAATCTGACACCCCTTCGCATACACGTGCATCACACAGAGCCAGCAGTAGCGGTTTATCATTACACTTTTATTGATAATTTATTTCGGCAATTGACAGCAAGAACAAACATAGAAGCTTTGTCTGATTGACAAGCAACACCTAATTATGTTCAACAGAATTTAAAACGCCAAATGGGACGAAGTTATACCCCATTTTGAAAGTAAAACATACTCTAATAGGTAGTGTAATCTACACAACATTAAGTGCCTTGTGTGAGTGAGAGGGGGCAGTGTTTCAATGTGATCTGGTTATGTTGTGGTTAAGTGACTGCTGGTGTTGATTGCTGTATGGTTAAAAAATGATAACAGTCAAAGTAACTAGCTTAATTTCAATTTAAATGAATTAAAATTAAATAAAATATGAATTAATATTTTTTATTTATTTTTTTTTTTTTTGCATTTGGATGGGTTTTGGGCAGCTTTTGGGCTGAAAAAAGGAAACTATAAGCTATCGGTTATATATATATATATATATATATATATATATATATATATATATATATATATATATATATATAGGTATACCTAAGTAAAGAGATTGAATAATCACAACGCAAAAAAAAATTTGACTTACTTTGTTTAGTATCATTCATTCATTCATTCAATTTCCTGTCGGCTTAGTCCCTTTATTAATCCGGGGTCGCCACAGCGGAATGAACCGCCAACTTATCCAGCAAGTTTTTACGCAGCGGATGCCCTTCCAGCCACAACCCATCACTGGGAAACATCCACACACACATTCACACACCATCATACACTATGGACAATTTAGCCTACCCAATTCACCTGTACTGCAAGTCTTTGGACTGTGGGGGAAACCGGAGCACCCGGAGGAAACCCATGTGAAGGCAGGGAGAACATGCAAACTCCACACAGAAACGCCAACTGAGCTGAGGTTCGAACCAGCGACCCAGCAACCTTTTTGCTGTGAGGCGACAGCACTACCACTACTAGCACTACTGCGCCACTGCCTCAATGTTTAGTATCATTTCTAGTTCAAATATCAAAAGAAATCTAAAAATAAAGAGTAAAATATAAAAATTAAAAAATTAAAATATATTTTTAGTTTTCACTGTCAGAAGAAACATGTGAAAAGTAAAAAGAATTTCCCTTAAAACAAGTAAAATTATCTGCCAGTGGGGTAAAGGAAATAATGTTTCTTTTTTTTATTTTTGCTATTTGGACAAAAATTCTAAGTAAGATTTTTTTTTTTTTGCATAAATCTTATAAAGTCCATATAAATATGGTGATTAAATACAATTTTGTAGCACCTGGTCAACTGTAATTCAGACTCAAAATTGCATATCTTTGCGATGTGATTATTGCAGATGGATTGCAATATCAATGCTGAAACGATATATTGCGCAGCCCTAGTTAAAATTATTAGTCCCCTTAATCAAAATTTTTGATTTGCTACAGAACAAATCATTGTTATAAAATGACTTGCCTTAAGCTGAATATTAACATCTTGAAAAATATCTAGTAAAATAGTATGTACTGTCATCATGACAAAGATAAAAAAAACCATTTTTTAGAAATGAGTTATTAAAACTATTATGTTTAGAAATGTGTTGGAAAAATATATTATCTCTGTTAGACAGAACTTGGGGAAACATGTCATATACTGAATATTAATCCCCCCCAAAATAAGAATCAAGTTAATATATTTATATAATAATGCTATTCTTTATATGACAATAAAAGTGGTCCTAATATTTGGCAGCTTACCCTTTAACATGGTGTGAAGAATGATGGCAATAATGACGATACTGATGATTACAACAATCAACACCGGAATTGTGTAATTTCTTAATGTAACACTGTTCTCTGTGAAAACAAAATGTTGTAAGTATTTACACAAAACAGCATGCCACTGAAAAATGAGCATGTGTTGTTTTACTTTAATTCTCAAATTAAAAAATGCCACTGTTTGCTTATGTACTACAAATATAAGCCCATACAGTTTTTAATCCACTACCACATCAACACTCAAACACTTCAAAGTCATATCAAGTTACCTTTATGTTCTGTTTGCGATACCACAATTGTTTCGCTCCTCTCTATGTCGTCACTTTGAGCCAAACACTCCACGTACTTGCCATGAAACTGGGATAGCTGAAGTGTGATGTTGCTTGTAACAGTGGTTGAGCCGTCTTTGTTGTGGGTTGTGAACTCATCTGACCTGAAGTGCTTCAGCTCTTGTTCTGTGGATTTCCACTGGATTGTTGGAGCTGGTTTACCAGTCGCTGAACATGAAATCACAACTTCTGTATTAGAAGTGTCTGCAGGATTCACTGCCGCTGTTATTTCTGAGATACCTGGAAAATACCAGCAACAGAATGACTTGTGTAGAAAAAAAAAACATTTAAAAAGAAATAAAAGCTGAACTTTTATAATAGTTTTGAGTAATAAAGTAATGCATTCAAAGGTCAAACTTGATTAACTTGATCAAATAGTATGCATTTTATTTAGTGGCATTAAAAATAAACATAAATTCTGTATTAAGGGTTGGGGTTTTTCTTTGCAATCTTGTAAAAATTTGAGTACAGATGACCATGTTGTTACAATGACCCTCTCATACAGCGGCCGGAGAATGAAACTGAAATGCCTGGATTCAGACCACAATAATTCATTAGTATGGTGTAGGGCAGGGGTTCTCAATCTCGGTCCTGGAGTTCTGATGCCCTGCAGATTTTAGCTCCAATCCCAATCAGACACACCTGGGCTAGCTAATCAAGCTCTTACTAGGCTTTCTAGAAACATCCTTCCAGGTATGTTGAGGCAAGTAATGCAGCTAAAACTGCATTCCTGACTCATTTTTTCAAAACACCCCAATGTGGCTCAATATTATTTAGATCTGGTGACTGTGCAGGCAAGTTTCATGTTCATTAAACCACTCTGTGAAATTGCCAGTAGACTGTTCAAATTTAACCATTAAACCTCCAGCACTAAATTGGCCAGTGTTTCAGTTTCATTGTCCAACCCTAGATGTGGTGTCACTCAAAGTACAAACAAAATCCTGTTGTCCGAAAGTGTTGTTTTTCAGTTTGTCAAATATACGGTATGTCATATACTACTCTTATCACTAACATTTCTGTGCTTTACATGGGGACAATAACAGTATTCTTTAATAAAACTTGCTCTTTAAAACCTGTGTGAGCCATGAAAATCATACCCCGTTTGGCACAACTAAACACATTAGCACCTACTTATTGGGATATTCCTTCAAAAATGGCTACAAAAACTGTTTACCATGTGTAATTTGATCTTTTGAGACTGTAAATGTCTAAAATGCACAGTATACACTAAACCATCTTACCCTAGAGATTATATTAGAGGCTGCTGATAGAAAAATCCTGAAAGCCCCTTTCACTTTTCTGAAATTGGAAACTGAATGGAAAGCTTCAGTTGCGTTTTGAGCAGAGTTTGTTGCTCGAATGAGGTACTTTTTGGATCCCTAGATGGATCCCTTTGTACCTTCGGATTCATTATTTATCATTTTGGGCTCATTTGTATTATCAAGGATGAAACAGCTTGTTTTTCCACCTGAACAACATTTTTTGTTCATAGGCTCCGCTTCCTACACTTTAATGAACAATTAAGACTTTGTAGCTACCTGTCATAAAGAAGTCTGTGTTTATTTCCAGTGTGTTAACAGCTTGTCTATGAAAGCTGCCTGATTTTGTATGAAGGATGCAGAGAATTAGCTATTCTGTAATCAAATGATTATTTGTTTGGCAACCAGATCTTCTAATGGCTGCTGCAGTGACACAATGACTTTTCCAACAGCCTCTTTATTTAGAAAGTGGGACTTATTCAGAGAATTGTGAAGCATCCTTTGTATTGTATGTAAAACATGTAATTGTTGTAATGTGGATACAATTTTGCATGAAGGTTTCAGGTATGATCCAATTTAGTTTTTTTTAAATAAATGTCACATAACTGTCTTTTTTATGTTTTTGTACATTTATTTACCTCTAAAACTTCAATATAAGTTCAGTATTTAGTATAAAGGTTGTCCAAAACCTTAAAGTCTTTTGAGTATGGTGAAATCTGGTGGCCTATGATTGTATACAAATCTAATAATTGAAAAAATCCATAGACAGTAAATTGCAATAGTTTTCAGTGGCATTTTGGGGGTCAGGGGGAATAGGGTTGTATGTGTAAGTAAGTGTTTGACTCATTGAGTATGTTTGTACATTTTTGGATAAATTAAAATTAAGCTTTTCATTTTATAGGAAAAAAAAAGCAACACGGTGGCTCAGTGGTTAGCACTGTCACCTCACAGCAAGGAGGTTGCTGGTTTGACTCCTAGCTGGGCCAGTTGGCATTTCTGTGTGGAGTTTGCATGTTTTCCCTGTGTTCGGTTGGATTTTCTCAGGGTGCTCCGGTTTCCCCCACAGTCTAAAGACATGGCTATAGGTGAATTGAATAGACAAACTTGGCCATAGTGTAAGTGTGTGAATGAGTGTGTATGGGTGTATGAGAGTCCTCTTTTTTTTCATTTGTTCAGATGGTAAACTTATAACTAGCTAAGTTGTGGGCTGCCCATATCAAGGAGACTATGTAAAGAAAAAAAGCTACAATAGATTATTTTGCCTTATTAAAAAAAAAGGACGGCCTCGGGGGTCAAAGTGTTTCTTGGACACACTTCTGCTTAATCTCCATGCATCATCCACATCTTAACCATTTAACTGCCTGCTCTACCAAATGGTTGACTATATTTTGACTGTTTTAAATAATGACTGTATTAATGAATGACTGTTTTAAATAATGGTTTACACTACACAGAATTGTTGGTTTACAAAAATTAAATAAAAAAAATAAATAAATCAAACAAACATAATCCTGTTTCTCTACTACACTTGATTTTAATTTTAAAATATGAATAAAAAAAACAAGAAAACATGTTAAATGAGAAATATTTTATGGCATACTTCAACATATAAAGATGATTTAGTGATCAAATGTTTTATTTTGAATACATTTTTAAATAAATTGGTCTTACACTTCACATTTTCACAGGGTGTCCGCAGAGTCTTAAAAAGTTTTAAAAGTTGATCACTTGTGAGAAAATAAAGACGCTTAAAAGTTATCAAAAAGTGTTAATCATGTTTTTATGAGGTCTTAAATTTTGTTCAAGTGTTGTCCAAAGTGTTTGACCCCCAAAACGCGTAAATATATTTATTTTGCTCTTAATATTAACCCTGGCGTACTCAATCTATGCCATTGGTTTGGGCCTGGGCTCGTCCGGGTAATGTCACATAATTTGCAACAAAGGCATGGTTATGTGACTCTCTCCACATGTAGCAAAACCATAGATCAAAACAGATGGCAAAATGAGAAAATGTAAGTTTGTGTACTTCTGGTTGGAGAAAGACAAGTTTAAACAGTGGAAAACAACCACATAATTTATTCTTTTAAGCTTTATTTCTTCCGAGCTTATCTAAGTCTTGTTGCACGCTTGTGCTCCATTGATTTATTTAACTAAAACCGTTTATTAACAACTATTTGTTTAGTTTAAGGTCTGATACTAATTTGAAATGTAAGTGGCGATGAGGTCTTAAAATATTCTGAGAAGGTCTTTAAAAAGTTTTGAATTTTAAAGTTTTGAAATTACCTTTAGGATTCCTGCATATACCCTGTTTCAGATTTTTCATAGTATATCTATTAATTCTGATACTTTTACTATAAAGCGACAGATCAACCATTTGGTAAAGCTTGATATTTTAGAAATTATGGGATGTGCTGAAAACAAATGAATTGAGTGTGTTAACTAGAAACATTAGGAGTTGCAATCCAAAAAAGTTTTTTTTTGGTTGGGTGGTTAAAGGGTTAAATTAAACATGCTTGTCCATCACTTCAATGCTTTATTCTAAAGCTCCCTTGATCATGGCCAGTTTTGAGCGCTTGAGTTTGGAATGATCCTTTAATATGGCAGCCATATTTATTAAGTGCCTTTTGGTGGTGGATTTATTCCTTTCAAAAGGAGTAATACTGTACATGTATAAGGTCTCTGACTCCTAAAGTTACTGCTTTTTACTCCAGTGTGAATACCTCAGGATAGTTTTACTTCTGTATGTAATTTCCTTAATGCTATGGCTATTAATAAAATGCTTCCAAAGGTAAAGCTACATTAAAAGGGATAGTTCACCCAAAAATTAAAATGCACCCACTATTTACTCATCCTCAAGTGGTTTCAAACCTTTATGAGTTTCTTTTTTCTGTTGAATACAAAAAAAGGCATGGTTACAGATGTAGCCATTGACATCCACAGTAGGAAATACAAATACTGTGGAAGCCGATGGTTACAGGTTTCCAGCTTCTTCAAATTATCTTCTCTGGTGTTCAACAGAAGAAATAAACTCAAAGAGGTTTGGAGCTGGTTAAAATGAAAAGTATAATGATGACAGAACTTTTAAATTTTTGGGTGAACCATTCCTTTAAGTCAAAGTCTTGACTATTTAAAGCTATATTAAACATTTCCAATGTTATTACACTGGAAAAAGATTGAGTTCACATGCAAAGTATTTTAACCAATAACATAAATATCAAACCACTGTTCCTGCCAAAGGAAATAATGTGTTTAAAACACGTGACAACCTGTGGCTATACTGGCATGCCTTACTCTTGGTATTGAGCTTGGTACTAACCTACCTTTAACAGTGACGCACAAGGTTTCTCGTTTGGGTCCTGTTGGATACACTTTAAAGGAACAAATGTAGCAAGCCTCATCTTCAAATGTTGTGTTTTTTATCTCAATAGTTGTTGAATTAAACGATGCTTGGAAAATGATCTTTCTGACAAAGTCCTCATCCACATTATCCTTGAAGCGCTCGCTGAACGTGGCCAGAGTGTGTACATCCTGCGCACGCACCCGCTGCCATGTCACCTGTCTGACGCCTGACACGAACGGCAAAGTACATGAGAGAGAAGCATCCTGACCAAACACAACAGCCGTGTCTCCTCGTGCCACTATTTCTAAAGGATAAGCTGTGGAATACAAAACAAATCCATAATGTATTAAAGCTTCCACCATCTCCAGCAGTTTTAGTAGCCATTTAAGTTAAATGTCAATTACAAACCTCCTCTGAGCAAAGCTAAAGCGATTAGAAGATGCAGCATGTCTAACCTCTTCTGGTATGAGTCTGTGAACTGATACAGATTATTTTTGGGTGTTCTCTACATATCATGGGTTGTCCTAAAAACCTTTCCTCATTCAGGGGAGTTTGGGTTTGGACTCGTTTTTTCATGTTTAATAAAGACAATTCTCACAGATGTTTAAAGAATTTTGAAATAATTGTGATTGTGATGAAGTTTTTATGGTGCAAATTCTACAATAAAAATGTATTTATCAGAATAGAAAATCAGAATTTGTTGAATGTTTTGCATAATTATGTTCAATATTTCACAAGATTAAAACATCAGCACTAAGATACTATTCAGTCAGCAATTACATTTATTTATAAAAAAAATTTTAAGGATGCATTCAATTATTCAGACAAGACAGTAGACATTTATAATGTAACAAAATTAGTAATCAAAGAATCTAGAAAACACAAACACACAATACTTTAACCAGCACTTCTGTGTAAATAATAATAAAATATAGATTTCCTATAGCAGCAAGTTATCATGTTTACTGAAAATCATACTGATTTCTGAAGCATCACATGACTCGGATGACAGGAATTTAATGAAATTTCAGCTTTTACATCACATCAGTATGTGTCACTGTCACATTTTTAGTCATCACTAAAAAAAAAGAGAACAACTGTTTTAAATTGCAATAGTTTTCCCAAATATCACTATTTTACAATCAAACGAATGCTGCATCTGCGAGATCTCTTTAAAAAACAATAATCCCAAATTGTTGAGGGGTGTGTGTGTGTGTGTGTGTGTGTCAGCTGTATAACCTTTGGTGATTCCTGGCAGGGCTATTCAGTACTTTCCACAGAAATGTAATAAACACTTGACAGTCACTAAACACTTTCGCTTTCATTTACAGGAACTCCCAAGTATCGTGTATCCATATTACACTTAATTTTTACTATTGCGGCATTTACGCGTTTGACTAACCCCAATCCCAACAACGTAAAATGCTGTAAATGAAAACTTTGACAACCTGTTTAACTTACATTTCGCAATAAATCCATTCGACTGCTCTCATACTGCAAGTAAGATAGACTGAAATCGAGCAATGAGAAATGAAAGACGTCTCGACGTCGAGGATCATAACTCACAAGTAACTCAGAAAACGTTTATAACACGACTCGTAACGCTACTCAATTACTCATACTCAAAACATCCGGGTTCTTTTTTAGAATAACATATCAAATTAGATTTTATTTTCAAAATAAAAGTCTGAAACTCTTTCACGACTGTTTCATCGAATAACTTGGATCTGGTTTATTGTTCAGTCCTAAAAATATGTTTATAATTTGCGATAAGTTTAATTTAATATCTTTATAATGTTACTTATTAATGCGACTTAAATCAAAATTAAATTAAAAATTACAAGGGAAACCCAGAGATATTTAAACCTTTAGGTCTCACCTTATTACTGTTGTTGCTGTTTTTATTACAATTTTACAATAAAAAAACAACATTTGTTAGCTAAATTTGTACGTTTATAATTTGTGATAAATTTGAATAAAACATTTCTGATATTTAATATGTTCGTGGTGTTGCTTATTCATAAGACTGTAACATTCCTAATTGTTTAAAAATTAGTAAGGGGGAACCTGGGGATATTTAAACCTTTAATGGCTATTGAATTATTATTGTTGTTGCTGTTGTTATATTTTTATAATTTTACAATAAAAACCAACATTTATTAACTAAATGCATATCAACAGATGTTTACTGTGCCAGAGACAACTTATCTGGAACATTAAAAATATTAGGATGAAATTATTATAAATCATTAAGTTTCTACATCATTTTTTAAACTTATGATAGTGATTCAGGAGCAATTATAGCCTACATTCAGCCGAGTCATTTGTTTTCCCCGCAGTTACAGAAATTACACAAGTCCAAAAATACATGAGTTAGTGTTTATTTACTGTTATCAGGGGGGAAGTTTAGACTACACTTAAAAAATAAACCTAAAAATTCCAACGAACTACAGCCAAATTACCACCACACATATCACATTCCTAACACATGGTGTATGCAAATTTAGGGATTGTTTAATTTTCAGAAAGTTGTAGGACTTTTTAGATCAGGTAATTTATCAGTCATGTGAATGTTTTTTATTCTGCACATTGTTATTAATGTTTTAAGTCAGTTTAATTGATGTATTGAATTACTTAATTTAATTTGTAATTTGATCTTGAACTTTTAAACTTTTTTTAAAAATCAGGCAGCAACACCTTGTTTACAGTGTAAATTCTCATCAAGACTTATTTTCACATAGAATTATTTGGAAATTGTTTTATTTTCTAACTTGCTTCTGTCTATTAACAGGAAATTGTGTGTTATGCACATTATTTCTAATGATTGAAATACAAATATAAGCATGGTGCTAAAGTAATTTAAAATAGTCAAATATAGATTTTCATGCAAAATATCAAAATAACCCAAAATACAACATACACTATTAAAGTAAATAAATGTGTCAATAAATCAGTAAGAGCAACATAAAATATAGATAAATAAATGTAGGGTAAAATTTAGACAAAACAAGCGGTTGAGTTAAAATAAAAAAAATAAAAAAAATGAAAATAACCCAGCATTTGTGTGTGTCCACAATTTGACCAAATTTCTGTTGACTTAGTAATTTTTAGTATGTAGAGTTTTTGTTTGAAAGGGATTTTAGACTGACCGAAATTAGACCGATAGCGACATCTGCCGGACGCGAGCATGTATAGCTCATGGTTGCAGTTTGGTATTATGCTTCTTCTCTACGATGCGCAGCCGCTTTAATATTCAACCAGCCAGTTAGCTATTAATAGATCATATGAGCACATTCCCCCAATAGAGATCTAACCCATTTCAGAATAGACGTAGAGATTACCAATATTTTCCGTCATCCAACTCTCGGTGGATCTGCCTGTTCGTGTGTCCATAGACCAGTGTTTTCGGTGATGATGATGATGACGATGACATTGTGATCTGTCGTCTAGAAGGCGGAGGAAAGGTGCGCACCGAGTAAAACAAACATCCACCTCGTGCTTCGACCACCGCAGTGAATGAACATGAATAGCGGCAGACTTTATTCACGACTGCGGTTATGTCGGTTTTATTCCGGCGGCGTGAGAGCGACGTATCACCGAACGCTGGACAGGATCGAATTAATGCTGCCGCCTAAATTAAGACCTGTCTACAATCATCCTGCTGGTAAAGACATTACTCTGCTCCTGTCTGAAGAAACACACTAGCTGACATTCACATGTTTGCATTAGTAGTGTTTACATGAATTGCCTGTACAGTGTGGTGCATTGGAATTCTCTTTTGTAGATGATGTCCTCAATGCTAGCATGGGTTTTCTGTTCTGAGCCATGCAGTGACCCCAAAACGACTTTGTACATTTAAATGCATTGGACAAGTGTTTTTAAATAGAAATATAGCTCAAGAGTACACATTTCATGCAAACTTTGCACAAATTTAAAGTGTAATGGCAATATTACAGTATTATAATATATTACAAAACAATATTACTTACTGGAATAACCTTGAGATCAAAAATGGTCAGAAAGTTCTATCATTAAATATTTGCGTAAGCAATTTGATCTGTACAATGGAATTATACATTTTACTTATGTATAGCTGTCCAAATGCTTTTGCTGATTAATGATCTAATTTTACAATACTATGTGCAGCTTATTGTCCCGTTCATGTGTTGAAGTAGTTGTTTTATATTCTACATATAACTTGTGACAAGCTCTCTATATTGTTTATCATGGTACTTTGAAAAATTGGTTAGGTTTGTCATGATATCTATTTTTTGTTGTACGATATATTGCAACAAAATATATTGCCATAAACAATATTATTGTCATTTTATGTCTTTATATAATGCCAAAATGACATCACAATGCAAGTACACTTCTCCAAAGACACATAATATTTTATTCTTAAGAATATTTAATTGAATTATAGTCATTTGAACAATTTAATAATTAGGCATTGGAATCAGAATGTAAAAACGCATGGCATGTCCTGGGTTAAATTGTTGCTAGAATTGGTTTTATGTATGGGCGATATTCAGAGGAAGTCTGAACTATTAGCCCCCCTGTTTAATTTTTTATTTAATTTCTGTTTGACGGAGAGCAGATTTTTTCAACACATTTCTAAACATAATAGATTTAATAACTCATTTCTAATAACTAATTTATTTTATCTTTGCCATGATGACAGTAAATTATATTTGGCTAGGTATTTTTTAAGACACTTTTATACAGCTTAAAATGACATTTACAGTAAGGGCTTAACAAAGTTAGGGTAATTAGGCAAGTTATTTCAGGGTTCAACGCTAAGGATATTTACTGGCCGGATTGGACCAGTGGTTCAGATTTGTATCTTTCACTGGCCACACCAAGAAAATAATATAAATAAATAAAAAATAGCTTATTCTTAGCCACATATTTTAAATAATGTGTCGAAAATATTGCCTGCGAATCTAGAATTTAAATGTTTAAAAAGTATTTTATTGCAAAACAAAAGGTGGCTGACTTAAAAGTGACAGAAAACTATGCGAAACATCACTTTTTTTTTTCGTCATGTTGTACCCTCGTAAATATCTGTTTCCACAACATTAAAACAACGTTTTCTTTTAGCCTCATAATTTGATGTTTCTATCTCTTCACTAATGGTTTTTACCAGGTTGTGAAAAACATAACGTGCTCACAACATCCAATCAGATCAAAGGAACCTAAACCCAATATGGTTTTTACGACTTTATTGAAAAGGTTCAAGACTAACATTCAAGACTATAAGCACAAATTGTTTTTCGATTCTAAGACTGTATTTGCACGCAATTGACTAATAGTCTCAGGCAAAATACAATTTTGTGACACGGCAGCACTGGCCTGATCAGGCCAGTAACGATTCTCTTTACTGTCCCGAGCATCTCTCACGCTGGCCCCGGGCCATCGGGCAGTCCTTATTGTTGAGCCCTGTATTGTATTATGATGGTTTGTTCTGTAGACTATCGAAAAAATATATATCTTAAAGGGGCTAATAATTTTGTCCTTAAAATGGTTTTTAAAAAATTAAAAACCGCTTTTATCCTTGCCAAAATAAAACAAATAAGAATCTCTCCAGAAGACAAAATATTATCAGACATACTGTGAAAATTTCCTTGCTCTGTTAAACATAATTCGGAAAATGTTTAAAAAAGAAAAAAAAATTTAAGGGTGGGCTAATAATTCTGACTTTAACTGTATATTGCATCACCAAAAATGATTAAGGTCATGTCTATGTATTGAGGGATAAGTCGATATATTAATTATTGGGATTATTGCCTATATTCGGTCTGAAATCACATTACATTACTACTATTTATTTGACTCTGAACAATATTGTACTGATTGTCATTGACTACTTATTGGATTTCACTATTTAGGATTTTCAAAGAATACTTTTCTGAAGTTATATTATTAAGGAGAAAGCCTGAAAGTGTGAATATTAAACTGAATTTACCTCAATCATTCATGTGTAGTGTTGTATGGAGTGATATACAATGGTGACATTGTATTGTGCTGTGATGGTTTCAAAATACAGTATAATTTTCTGTACAATGCTGGTTTTCTATTTCACTTCATTTCAAAGGCCTTGATGGAAATGCTGAACATTGTTTCTCCAGCTAGTCCAGCACATCCTACTCTGGTTTAAAGAATATTTTTATTATACTGTAAGACATGAAGGTGATCATATCCCCAACATGATTTCACCAAGTAAGACATGTTTATGGATTAACATCTATGTAGATCCTGGAACAACATTCCAATCAGCCAATCCGAGTTTAGGGATATGTTTACTGTTTATGTTAAGTTTAGGCTTACTGTTTAGTTTATGCACTTCTATATTATAGAATATTCTCTATATTCTATATTGATATTCGACTATTATTCCTCTTTGATTTTGGGAATAATTTACCGTTATGGTTAGGTTTTAGGGACAGGGAATAGGTATAATTATATTTTTAAACAAAAAAAATGGTGTTCCAGGATCAACATGGATGTTAATGCAGGATTGCATCGAATTGGCAAAACATTGATGTGCAGACTATATCTGATCACAGGTGTTGTTCATAAAAAAGTGTATTTTTTAAGGCATAATTCAATTAAAAATGAAAATTTCAATCCTATATGAGTTTTTTATTTTTATTTTTTACTGTTGAACAAAATAAGGGGATCTTAAAAAAAAAAAAAAAAGTTTTTCTTAATGCTATTAACTAGACCCAATGGACCTCCATAGCATTTTTTGATACTATTGATTATTGAAGTGAAAAGGGACCAGCAACTGTTTGGATAATTATTTATATATATATATATATATATAATTTGGAACGAAAGATGGTGACAGATTTTTTTTTTTTTTAGTTTGAATGACTTGTCCCTTTAAATTTTGGAGAATTCAGTGCATCAAATAAAAATCAATCATTTAATCAATAAATTAATTAATGAATCGCCCACACCAAATGTATTTTTCACATTAGAATTCACATAAATAAAAAATAGAAAATGACCCTGACTGAATGCATCTCTCACACCAGTACTCTCTCAGAATCTGTATTTCCCCCCTCAGGGCCAAAGACGGTTTTCTTCTGGGCGCCTGTTTTCAAATGGGTAAGATGAGTTTTGTTCATTTACTAACAGTTTATCAAATATCTAAAAGCCACATTCAATCATCAGCCTTCAGTTTGTACATGGTAGCAGTTCTAAGGCTACAGAGTATATTGTGACCTTGAATGTTTGTGTTTCACTTGATTATACAGTGCCCAATGAAAATGACCTGTTTGAGTAAGAAATAGCTTATCATTTACTCACCCTCATGAATTTAACACCCACTCTTACTCTGAGGAACACAAAAGGAAAGCAGCAGGATGTTGCTGCTTACTCTATACTGCGCTATGAGATTTAAGGCTGTCAATAATTGCAAATTAATTTTTACTCTGGTCTTCATGCAAACCAATCATATGGACAGGGACAGCTTTTATGAAGCTTTTTTGACCCAACCAACCTCCATATACAAAACAAAGCGATCTAAACAATGTGCTCAACCTATTTTTTGGCCCTATTGACTGTATATTTCAGATAAAAATATCAAAAATCAAACACTAGAACAGTGTTATATATTTGCAGACTCATTCAGATACATTACTCCATATACATATAACATAAATTATGTTTCAAAGAATGTTCAAATCTAGAAAATAAGCAGTTTTGTGGACACAGATTGTGCCCTTGTGTGGTGCCATGATTAAAATAATTAAATATCATATGAGGAATCACCAATAAAATGTAATAACAACTGTGTCTTTAGTTTAATTTCTAAACATTCAAATCACACCAAATCTGCAGAAACTCATGTCTGTTCCTCTCTCCTCCCTCAGAGAATCGTCAGTCTATAGCGATCAGTGATTGGCTCCTGTACTAGAAGGCGGGTCTTCATTTGTCATATTGATGTTACACTTTTCCCCATTCAAAACTATACGAGTGACATGTCTTGTGTATTATATAGTCTTTGAATGTACCAAAACACAAAGATTACAATCGAACCAAACATGATTTTATGCAAATTACCTGTGCTTATTTTACCATTTAAAATGTTGTAATCCTGTGGTGACTGCAATCGTATCATGAGTTTACCTATTGATCAAGATCGTTGGGCAATCTCACTCATATTTGCTCTTTGCTCTTGCAGGGTTTAGTTGCTGCTGGATTCTCTGATATGACCCGGCCTCCAGAAAAGCTCAGCGTCTCCCAGTCCTGCGTCATCACAGCTACTGGTACTTCAGTCAACAGAGAGATGATTGATGTGGTTTACTCAAGATTTACCATCATCAGTAGTCTGTTGTCAGTGTCCACTAGATTAGAAGAACTCATCTAAAGCCTCATAGTAAACTGAGATTAGTGGGGCTGAATATAGGACTTGAAATGAACCCAGGAAACTAGTATATATGAGCGGGAGACTATAGTATGTATCAGCAGTAGATTCAGTGTGAGAGTTAGAAAAATCTGTCTGTCTTTGAGATTGATAGTATTTTTTTTCTATGTAACTGTTTAAAAATTGCTCATAATAAGCTTGTTCAGATATGTGAGTTTTGAGTTTTGACCTGTACAAGTGATAACTTAAAAGGATAGTACACCTATCAAAGAAAATTCTCTCTCTTCACTTGTTCCAAACCAGTAGAGTTTAACAGAACTTTTTAGAGTTGTTTTTCCTCTGCTGAACACAAAAGAAGATATTTTGAAGAATGTTTGTAACCGATAACCATTGACTACCATAGTAGTTGATTCTCCTACTATGGATGTCAGTGGTTAGCAGTGTTCAACATTATGAATACTAAAAGCTTAAACTGGTTTGGAACAAGACAAGAGTCAGTAAAGGATGACAGAATATTTATTTTTGTATAACCTATGAGTTTAAAGGGATAGTTTCCTCAAAAGTGAAATGTGGACGAACATTAAAGAAGACCAGGGCTTGACATTAACACCTGCCAGCCCACCAAATGCGGGTAAATTTCAGCTATGGCGGGTTAGACAGCCACTTCTATAGCCACCTTGGCTGGTTGAAAATAATTTTTGAATTGCCAGTGCTGGCTTATCTCTAAAGATTTTATGACCAGCAGCTGAATACCGAATGAAAGGATGATCGGGTGCATGGTGAGACACAGGCAATCCTTGCTGACTGACGTTGTGAGCGAGGCGCAGCTGATGTGAAGCGCGCAAGTGCTTAGAAGCTCCCATTTCCTTGCGCAAATCAACTGTGCCTGGAAACGCAACTATTGCAATCATTTCTCTTTGAAATAGATTGGGAAAAAATCGGTGCCCGTTCACCCACAGTCCTGCTGTTTTCAAGAGATCTCCAGATTTTTTTATGCAGCTGCTGTTGCCGCTTTCACTTTTACCATTCTTTTAACAGATTTTTATTGGGCCTAACATAAACAGTGTGCACATGATCCTCCTTTTACTTTCGCACACAGAATGTTTTTCACCGTTTTCTTTTGCTTACAGTTATTTTTGTTAATATGGTTTAATTATCACCCTTAACAATAACATTGCTTTAACAGGAGATTAACGCTCTATTTATCTATGGTTAGCTGATGATCTGGGACATTTAGTCTGGAATAGAGATGTGCGCAGGACTAAATTTTGAATTCCGCTCCTGCCCGAATCTGACCCGCTTCCACTTATATTCAGCATTTGTTGTCCCGCTGCCCCGCTCGTTTTCTCGGGAGAACAAAACCGAAAACCATCCAGCTATACAGAGTCCAGACAGCCTATAACAAGCTGTCTGTATAAACACACACACAGACAGCAACAAACAAGCTAAACGCAGCATCACGCTGTCTCATTCACACACATACATACGCTTGCTCGGGAGTCGGGAGCGATATTGCTAGTTACCAGTTACCGACTGCTCCCGCGCTTTATTTGGAAATTTGCAAACATCTAGCCTGGACAACTACTGTGTATAGTTTTAGATTAATAAGAATAATTTCTTCAGGAATAAATTAAATTTGAATGATTTTTTTGTTGAATAAAGTCATTTCAAATAAAGTCATTTCAAATAAATAAAAAAAGTTAAGGAGGCATGTGGACACAACACAACATTTAAATCAAGTAATTTTAGCATGCCAAAGTCAAAATCATGCATATAAAATATATTTTCCCAACAACAAAATTGTGGCTAGTGAAAATGTTCAGTGGTCAGTAATGTTAGAAAACTACTAGCCACAGTGGCTGGTGATCAAAAAAGTTAATGTCAAGCCCTGAAGAAGACCTACTAAAGCTTTTAGTTTGAAATCATGGTCCATGATGATTCATAAAATGCAAGTCAGCGGCTACCTGTATGGCTACCTGTATTTTGAGAGTTTTGTAGCTCCTAATATTCAGGTGTTATGAAATCAAACAATCTGTTTTTAAACATATTACTTTTTTTTGATGAACAATACAACAGGTTTTCCCTTTGTTTTGCCTGCATATGATTTTGTTGACTTTCAAAGTGCTGGTAGACGTTGACTTGCTTTTTATGAATCAACAAGAACACAGTTTTAGCAAAAAAATCTTCTTTAAAAGTCACCAAAAAATAAATAAATCTAAATTTACCTACAGTTTAATCAAGCAAAACTATCATGGATTTCTGTGAACACAAAAATAGATATTATTTTTAATAGGTAGGGGGTGGATATTATGGAAGTCAATAGCTACTGGTTTCCAACATTCTTCAGAATTATTTATTCATTCATTTTCCTTTGGCTTAGTCCAGGGGTGTCCAAACTCAGTCCTCGAGGGCCGGTGTCCTGCATAATTTAGCTCCAACTTCCTTCAACACACCTGCCTGGAAGTTTCTAGTATACTTAGAGAGAGCTTGATTATCTGGTTCAGGTGTGTTTAATTGGGGTTGGAACTAAAACATGCAGGACACTGGCCCTCCAAGACTGAGTTTGGGCATCCCTGGTTTAGTCCCTTTATTCATCAGGGGTTGCCACAGTGGAATAAACCGCCCACTTATCCAGCATATGTTTTACACAACGTATGCCCTTCTAGCTGCTACCCAGTACTGGAAAACACCCATAAACAGTCATTCATACACATACACTACGGCCAATTTAGTTTTTTCAATTCACGTATAGCGCATGTCTTTGGGCTGTGGGGGAAACCAGAGCACCGGGAGGAGAACACAGGGGGAACATGCAAACTCCACACAGAAATGCAAACTCACCCAGCCGGAGCTCAAACCAGCGACCTTCTTGCTGTAAAGTGACAGTGCTAACCACTAAGCCACACTCTACAATCAAAATTATTCTTAGATGTCATCAAGTGTTAAAGCAACAAATAATTTATTGTGATTGGCTGTAAAAAGATATGACACTATTGTCTTACAGTATTTGTCCCACTTTATCTGACAGTGGATTTTAGCAGACTTCACCGTACACAAATGGCCTATTCTATTATTGGTTAACTGCACCTCTCTCTGGTTTCTTTCCAGGATTGATCTGGTCAAGGTACTGCCTGGTGATTATCCCCAAGAACTGGGCTCTGTTTGCTGTAAACTTTTTCCTGGGCATGTGTGGAAGCATCCAGCTCTTCAGGATATGGAGGTTAGTCATTACGGGTTCTGTTCTAAGGTCAGCTTTGTTTACTACCATCAGTCAATACACACAGGAGACGAGATTAGTCATATGGGATTAAGTTGCAGAGTCTCTGAGTTCAGTCTGGAGATCAACAAGATACTTACAAGAGTTATCCACCTCCATTTAGCCTGTTATTTTAAACGCATAAAAGCGAAATAAAATTAATCACTTATTTATTTGTAATCAGATCTGGCTAATAATAATTAAAAATGATGTTATGTAAGGCGGCAGCATCAAAAGCTACATTTCAGAATGCAAAAATGTGCTTAAGTTAATTATTCACTGGCAGTTTGGCTTTATTTACTCTGCTTTACTAAACTTCAGATGACTAATAAGTTGTTGGCACGTGATGTTTTTACATACAAAAGAACTGTGTTGTTTATCACACTTGCCTTGGGCTAAGACTGTAATTACTAGCAACAGTCTTTACTTTCACTGGGAGACGTCGTGTTTCAATTCATGGGTCAGAGAGGAGGTGTCCCATTTTGGTGTATGAAATTAAGCTTACTAAAATTACTTATGTAGTGTACAGTTGACATCAGAATTATTAGCCCTCCCATTTATTTTTTTCCACAATTTTGTGCTTAACGAAATGAAGATGTTTTTTCAGCACATTTCTAAACATAATAGTTTTAACAACTCATTTCTAATAAAGGATTTATTTTATTTTTGCTATGATGACAGTACATGATATTTCACTAAATATATTTCAAGATAAACTAGGTTAATTGGGCAGGTTAGGGTAATCAGGCAATTAGTAAATAGTTCTGTAGACAATCAAAACAATATTGCTTAAGAGGGTTAATATTTTTTTAATAATAACAAAATTAAAAACAGCTTTCATTCTAGAGGAAATAAAACAAATAAGACTTTCTTTAGCAGAACAAATATTATCAGAAATACTGTGAAAAATATCTTGCTCTGTTAAACATAGTTTGGGAAATATTTGAAAGAAATAATTAAAAAATAATTTATTCAGCTCACTGTAACCAGTGTTACAACATACTCAAAATTACAACATGCTTCTTATTGAAAATATGTCAAATATATTTTAAATAATCAAATTTAGGGTGTTCACGGGGTCTTAAAAAAGTTTTACATTCCAAAAACAGTATTTTAGGCCTTAAAAAGTCTTAACTTCACTGAAATATTAATTTGTAGATCTTAAGTCATTTTAAATGGGTCTTAATTTTAAATTATTTTTTTACATTTAAACCCTAAAACCCATACAGTCACCAACAATCCACAACCTTTACCATAACTCTATTTGTAACTCTATTTAGCAATGTGGTTTAATTATATTATCACAATATCACTTGTAGGTTTTTCATGTATTTACAGACCTGGACAGACTGTTGTAAAATATAATATAAATAATATAGTTTTTAAAGATTTGTCAAAGAAATGTTATATTTAAACTTGTTTTGACACATTATTTAAGTGTAATTCAAGTAATTAGATTTTTTTTAATGGGGCAAGTAAATATTATTAAGGTTTAGCCCTTCAAAAGTCTTCAATTTCATTTATAATGGTCTTAAAAGTGACTGTGAAACCTGCAGAAACTCTTAAATTAAAGTTTAAACATTATCATTAAAATATTGCATTTAATGTGGTAAATTTGACATTTAAAAAAACATGAATGCTGTTTTTTCTTTAAATATTTTAAAAGAGCAATTTATTTGTAATGTTTTTTTATATATATATATATATATATATATATATATATATATATATATAGTTGAAGACAAAATGCCCTCATGAATTTTTGTTTCTTTCTTTCAAATATTTTCCAAATGATGTTTAACAGAGCAAGGAAGTTTTTCAAAGTATTTCCTATAAAATTTTTTCTTCTGGGGAAAGTCTTAAGCCATGATCACACTAGAGTTTAAGCTTGTTGTATTAGACTGCAAATGGCAAAAAGGGACATTTAAGCAAGCGATTACTCCATATTTTAAATTTCTGTCCAGAGAGGTCTTGTTTTTATTTCCGATTGGTCTTACGCAATCACATGATGCGATTTCACAGGTCAAAGTTCACCAAGCTTGAACTTCAATGCAGCAAACTGCGAAATTGTGCACGAGATTATGTTTCCGGTCTGTCACATTCGAATGCGTATGAATGAAAGACTATGGGGCAAAAAGTGCAGTGTGACCGTGGCTTAAATAGTTTTATTTTGGCTAGAATAAAAGAAGTTTTACATTTTTAAGGTCAACATTAGCCCCTTTAGCAATATTTTTATTCAACCATTAACCTAGTTAAGCCTTTAAATTCACTTATTTAATTAAATTCACAATTTAAATTAAATTTAGTAAAATATTATATACTGTCATCATGGCAATTATAAAAGTAATCAGTTATTAGAAATGAGTTATTAATACTATTATGTTTAAAAATGTGTTACGGGGGGCTAATAATTCAGGAAGGTTAATAATTCTGACTTGAACTGTGTGTGCTGTAAATAGATGATTGATTCCTTTATTTTTAAAGGGCCATGAAACCCCCTCGTTTCAGCAGGGTGTTTTCACACCTCTACTTTGGAAAAAGTCAGAAAAGTGGGGTTGTCCAGCTCTGTTTAGGGGGAGTGTCGGAGGAACTAAAGTGGGATGGTGTGGGAGTGTCTATTTGGGCACGCGCGAGTTTCAGTCAAAATACACACACATGAGAAAGTGATGGTGTTTAACCTACATGGACATCTGTAGTCGAATTATTTGCCAAATTATTAAATGTTGGACTTTAACTGCAGTTTGGCTCTTTCATTCAGGGAATTCATTCATGCCCCTCACGACAAACGCGATATTTGATTCGAGGATCTTCTCTAAGCATGTATTTTTCATGCAATGTTTGTTACCGCACGGAGAATGAGAGAAAAAAAACTCTGCATTTCCCGGAAACTTAGATGCACACGGCAGGTAGCGTCAGAAAGCCGCGTGTGTTATTCTGGTCACAAAATGCGGTGCTATGTTTGCACTCTGTGCAATAGTTAACTTAATTCGAAACGAACAAACTGAATAAACAAAGAGCACTGGTCGCTCACTTACCAAATCTGTAGAGACAGGACAATCACCAGCAACTAGAGCCGCGTCTTTATAAAGAGGAGACTAACGTTACAAGCGAATCCGGATTTCAGCGTTTGCAGATGAGAACAGCTCTCAGGTAAACAATGTTCCTCCTTAGACACGTAAGTTATTGTTGTCGAGCGTCGCGTACACTGTTAATCCACACGTGATCCAGCTGAGCTCTCACAGAGAGAAAATAAAAACGAAACTTAACTGCAGCAAACTATAAAAGCAACACTTCACGCTTGTTTTGCCAACACAACGTGGCGTCTCTGTGGCATAAACACGGTGACACTAATGAATATTAATGAAGTTGCACAATAGAGCGCGCTGATTGGTTTGAACCAAGCCTTACTCATGCATTAATGCATCACACTGTAAGACGTAATAAGACACACTCTGGCACAGACGTCCAGTCTGCACGCTGGAATACACGCTATTATGTCATAGCCAAGACGCAGCTTCAAAAATTCGTTTCAAACAGGAAGTACGAATTTGCTTGAAATTACGCAAAAACAAACAATTTACACTTTTTAGTGAAATATAGGTGTCTTAATAGTGTTTTTAGCAGTGTGGGACACATATACGACTGTCAACAGCTCAAAAAATGTGTTTTGGTGTTTCGTGACCCTTTAAAGTGCCACTACTACTATTCCATAATGCACACATACTACAAATATTACAAGACTTTTATTTGAGTTGTTTAGTTGTATTATTCCTGAATACCATATTTTACAGTACATGTATGCGTAAGATATCTTTTATGATCTTCACGAATGAGTCTGCATACAGCAAATACAGCGAAGGTTCCCTGTGCTTGTTACAGTGCATGAATTAAATGGGAAAGTGCCCTTTCTTCCTCATCACGTAAATGGTGGTATGCTGTAGAAGAGTTTACCATAACATGTAAAGAGACAGACGGGTAGCAGAGTAAAGGGCAGGTTTTATTCTTGTGTTTACGATGGCCTGAAAACGCTTCCAGCAGCAACCCATTGTGTTCATTCAGCACATGCAGTACTTTAAGTAATTATGCATTCAAAGGGACTGACGCACTCTTTGTTTGTGTGTGCAGGTACAACCAAGAGCTCAAGCAGAAGGAAGCGGAAGTGCAGCAGACTTGAAAAGCCACAAGAGTGTTCAGCTGTTGTTCAGTTACTGTAAAAGCAATGAATCAGCCTTTTGCACACTACCGCCATGTGATTTAGATCTGTGTGAAATAGAGGGTTATTTTACCAAAAAAATCATTTCCTATTTAAATTCTGTCACGCACATCAGTTGTGATACAATGATTGTATTTCTGGTGTTCTCGATTGATCCGTTTCTCAGTTTTAAAGGGGTCATATCATAATAATAATAATAATAAATGGTGTGCCTACAAAAGCGCTCGTTTTTATTTGTGCCAATTTCTGCCAAAACATTTTTCCATACAAACAGTGTACAAATTCCTGATTTATATTTAATTCATGTTTATTTATATAGCGCTTGTACAATGTAGATTGTGTCAAAGGAGCTTAACATTGAAGTTCTATATTTATATCTGTCACTTGTATGATAAAATGATGCTAAATTACTGTTTTTAAATCAAGGACAAATGTCCACTCACTCGTGTGTTACTGTTAGATTAGTTTAAAATGTTTGTACATGAACAGTGTTGCCAGATTGGGTGGTTTTAAACTTAATTGTGCAGGTAAAAATGACGGGTTGACAAAATTTGGGTTTTGAAAGATAAATTTAATACATGATCCATATCTTTTAACAAAAAGCCCACCCACAAAGAGGTGAAGGAAAGTTGTATCAAAAGCTGACTCCCGGACAAATGTGACTCCCCTTCGTGTGCATGCGCAACACACAGCCCCTGCAGTTTAACTCACAATGGCTTATCATAAAAACTGACAGCAAGAACGAACATAAAAGTGTTGCCTGATTGACAATCAGCACTTGGATGTGTTCAGAAGAATGTAAAACACCAAATGGGACGAGTTTATTTATTTACGACCTTATTCTTTACCTGACTTAACTCCTATGTCCTGCTTCTGTTGTGTCAAACAAGTCATCGTTGTCAAAGGAATCATTTTTAGGCTCACCAGATTTACTAGAGACACAGTGGAGCATAGCTAATTGATATCCTCCAAACTAACAGACTGAAACCAACATCTAAAATACTTTATTTTAGTTTCACGGCACAATAATGCAATAAATAAATAAACTATGTAGGCTAATAGGTAGTGTAATCTACACAACATTAAGTGCAGTGTTGTGATGTGATCTGGTTATGTTGTAATTTTACTATTGTGGTTTTGTGACTGTCGGTGTTAAGGCTGATTTATACGTCTGCGTTGAGTGATCATCGTGACCCCAAGGTGCATTCATTGCTCGTAGTCGTGCATTTATACTTCTGCATGCTGTTTTGTGTTGCTCTGCAATAACACTTCCGAAATGCTAGCTGGCAATAGGTAATATTATGTTCTTCTGTATCGAGTTTCTTCACAGGTGTTTTGTTTTTTCTGAATGCTAGTTAAATGTACAACTGAAACTCGCTCTTTCAGAGGCTGGAACCGGCGGACGTGCAACAACTTTAATCATAAGTTAAACACTAAACATCTGGAGCTCCTTCACAAGACTCGACACTTGTAAACACTCGCGGCTTTCAACACCGCCCATACTCGACACAGCTACTAACCCAACCAATCACAGAGCTTGCGCTACATGTCATTGCGGCTTGTAGTTATATTTTCTAAAGCCGCCTTTCCACTGCACATGACAAGCAACAGACGAAAATCATTCCTTTTCCATGAAGAGTAGTCCAGGAGTTGTGATCATCTCCGTATGCAGAAAATTTGGATCCGATTTAAGCTGCGGATCCGTTAAATATTTGAACTCCTGCGACTAGACCGTATGCGACCTGTCAACCGGATGTGATGTATCCTAGTGTAGTCCAAGCCGTTCCGTGCGTGCGAGATGAGAAATAGGAGTTTGTTGTTATTTTTTGAATCAGAAAGAAGTCTATATTTAAAAGAAACATTTCTATTCATAAATGAGTAATAAAAAAGATTATTTTTAATCTTGTCTTCACGTATACCTCCGAAATATTTAGCAGTCTATTAGTTTTTAGTATTCATTCATTCAACCATGGTGAACGCACAGATAATAAAGGCTCTTGCGCTACTTTATTTCGGACACCGCAAGAATCAGCTTCCCATGGTGCTTGACAAAACTGAATATTTTGTGCGACTGCCACAAGGGGGCGTATTCCGACAGTCGTGTCCAAATGTCTTGTGCTGCGGAAAGGTGGCTTCAGCCATGGTGAGGGCTATGTGATCATGCGAAGGCTGTGCCGGACCATACATGTGCGCTTGACGCAGAAGTATAAATCAGCCTTTAGTTGCTGTATGGTTAAAAAGTATGACAGTTAAAGTAACTAGGCTAATTTCTGATTTAAATAAATTTAAATAAAATATTAACCTATTATTTTAGGCATTTTTTTGTGTGGATTTTGGGCTGGAAAAGCTATATCTGGCAACACCGTACATGACATTAACTTCCTTTTTAGCTTTGCTCACTCGCAGATTGTGGGTTTGCTGTTACTGTATCTAATATAGATTTTGAACTCCATGCTGAATATACGTAATGTGACACAACCACAAAATACTCTGCTAAGATGTGCCGTACAAACTGCTTAGCTCAGATAGAAATAATATTCAGGCATATTGTTCAAAATGACAAAAAAAAAAATTGTTTGTTCAGGATATTGCCATAACAAGTTCATTCCTCATCATACTGTATGACCCCTTTAAAATCTAATAAAAAATAACTAATAGATTAAACTCATTTGCATGAATGTACTATATGCTATCACTTTTTTTTAGCTTTAGGTATTTAGATCAGATGCATTAGTTATCTGGTCATTCACGGGAATAGCCTGCAGACTTTGCTCTTTAAGTAGACAGAACAAACACACAATGATAGACAGAACGTTCAAAGTGTTTTAGCTAGCAAATTATGGTACTGTAATATCTCTGTCAAATTATGTATTCATTAAATCACTGTCAAAACATGGACTATTTGTATTATACTTTTAGTCTGTTTTGCACTTTCAGTTTGAGTGCACCTTTTGTCCTAGAATTTTTCTAATAGGTCATTAAAGCACCATATTTCTGGATCGTCTCCACTGCTAAAGCAGGAGTCAAGGGTGTATGACAAACACATGCACTTCTTTGTTGCCTCGTGCTAAATTAAGAGCGTTAATCCCCTTTAAACCTGTTTTCAGCGTATCTTACACACCGGCTCTAAATTAAGTAAGCCAGGCCTTAAATCATCCATCTGTCTCCAAACTTCTACTGTATGTCACACTTCACCTCTGCAGCCCACACGCTTGTCAGATGTGAACAGCACAGAATCACAAGTGTGTGTTCTGCTTTCTGCATGCATATGAATGGAATATCTGTGTGTGTCTTACGTATCATATCTTAGAAGAATAATGGTTTACATTTACATTTTTAACTTGTAATAATAAAATATATTTATATATAACATACTGTTGAAGTCAAAATGATTAGTATTAAAAATTTTTTTTTTATATATATATTTCCCAAATGATGTTTAACAGAGCAAGGAAAATTTTCACAGTATTTCCTAGAATATTTTTTCTTCTGGACAAAGTCTTATTTGTTTTATTTTAGTTAGAATACGACTTTAAAAAACATTTTAAGGTCAATATTATTAGCCCCTTAAGCAATATTTTTTTTTGATTGTAAAATATCATGTACTGTCATCATGGCAAAGATAAAAGTAATCAGTAATTAGAAATTAGTTATTAAAACTATACTTTAAAACTATATATATATAATATAATTATTTTTAGTGAAATAATATAATATAATTAATATAATATAATTATAATTAATATTAATATAATTAATATATAATATAATTAATTAAAAATTTGATAAAAAGATTTGCATTTAAAATTAAGTATTTTTTAATATTTCTATAATTCTAATCTCATTACATCATGTATAAAACTGTAATACCTTACAGTTTAAATGCACATTTGTAAATAAACAAATTTTGTCAAGCACCCTGACATAAATGTAGGAAGTATTTTTGTTACATCAAAAAGTTTATCAATGAATACCATCTGACAAGCTAATCCAGCACAATTTAATGCTTAAAATGTCAATAGAATGCAGTTTTTAGAACCTCAAATAGCTGCAAAAAGGTCCGCTTTTTGAGAAAAAAGGACCACCCCTTTTAATTGGCTGGCTTCGGGCCTGAATGTACATGTGAATGTAGCATTATTAGAACTCACATTCAGCCAAAGCTTGTCTTAAGTTATCTTCATTGTTTTAGTTGCCCATATGATATTTTGTTAAAGGTCTGTGTGAATTGGAAGTTGCCAAGACATTTATTTTATTATGTTAATGAACTTACAACTGATACTGAAATTATTTTTTTTATAATTCTTTTTAGGGGTTTTCACCTTTATTGGGATAGGACAGTGGGGATTTTACAAACAGGAAAGTGTGGGGAGCTAAGAGTAGGGAAAGGAACTCGGGTCACTGTGAGCACCTAGGTGCTATGTGTGGACGTACTAACCACTAGGCTATTGGCGCTGACGATATTAAAATTCTTATATAGATTTAGCGTACACTTTAGAAATCTATATCTTCTACAAGATGGAATTCATATTGTGAATACAAAAAAAATTTGTTGCATCATTAAGAATCCTCTCTACCTGTTTGAGGATACAATTCTCATACAAAACTATTCGTAATGCGCAATTATTTTTCATCTTGTCAGTAACATGTGCATCAACTTGAATGTACACTGTGCTGATAGGGTGCCAAAGCACATTGTGATGCCATGCAATGCTTTCTCATAGATTCTTGTTTAGGCAAGGCAAGTTTATTTATATAGCACATTTCATACACAATTGTAATTTGAATTGCTTAAAATAAATAAGAAGAAAGGAAACAAGTAAACTAAATAAAAGTAGCTGAAGGCAGATTCAACCTGCTTTGACTGAACTCTTGGAATTTCTCATTTACTTGATCTGAGTGATCTGTTAGGTTTGTATTCAGTGAGCATATCTGTAATGTATTGAGGTTCTAGGCCATTTAGTGATTTATAGACAAGTAGTAATACTTTAAAATCGATTCTCAATGTAACTGGGAGCCAGTGTAAAGGCCTGAGGACAGGTGTGATGTGCTCTGATTTCCTAGTTCTGGTCAGAATCTTGGCAACAGCACTCTGGATGAGCTGCACCTGCCTGTCTGTCTTTTTTGGAAGGGCAATGAGGAATCCATTACAGTAATCCACTCTACTGCTGATAAAAGCATGAACAAGTTTCTTTAAGTCGTCAATGGAAACAAAGCATTTAA